CAGGCGAATTTCCGTTTCTAGACCCTATACTTTCAGTCTAGGGAATAAAAACTTATTTGATTATATACAATAAATATTAGTAATAAATAATGCCTATTATGTAACTAAAAATGAATAATTAAGTCGATGAAGGCGTTTAAACAAAAGATGTATTTGGAAAATTTTTTTTACCTGATATCTAATGATTCGATGTGTATGTCTCATCATACATTGCATAATTTTAATTCGAAATGAATGCTGACCTTTATTCGTCATTTACCTATGTAATTTTTTTGGTGTTATATTCAACTATTTTTTCCAACGTCAATGAGTAAATATGTTTTATATGTAAATGATGCATACAGATAATAATGACATATTATGAATAATTGTTTAAGTGATCAGGTAAGTAGTTTTTCTCTCATTTACTCGTTAATCTTATTCAACCAATCAATAGGTAAACATCAATTTATTAAATAATCTGAAAGCACGTGTTTCATATCTTTTTTAAGTGATTTTTAATATAAAAAGATAACCATAAACTAAAATAATTCTTTAAACAACAACAAATGACAATGCACACTAATAAAAAAATATTTACTGAGCATTATTTATTCTATATAATTATTTAAAATAGAAAAATAAATCAAAACTTTAATTTTCAAAGTCAATTTGTCATTTAATTGTAAAGGCTTGATTTAACTTTTCATTACAAAAGTCAATGATTGCAAAATAAACACATAATGATTAACTAAAATATATCTAGATATTCATTCAATATTAATTTTCATTTATTGAAGGGATTAGAAAGAAATACAATGGCAATTTATTCATATTATTCCAATTTATGAACACGATAAACTATTTTAAAACTTTCTTATTTGTAATTGATTATATAAAAAACAACTTTAACATTCATTCAAATAAAAATAATTTGGCGTTTAGAATCTTGCTATATCATAAAAGTCATTTGAGAGTTATTCGTATATTTAGAAAAAGTTTTGATTAAATCACTTAATTCAAATACCTGATTTTAATTTAAGCAATTCTTTCGATATGATGATATTCATAAAAAATCGTATTTTCCATGTAGTAGCAGTAAACTATTCATTGGTACAATATTTATATCAGTAAATATATTAGATGAAAATGACTTTTGTCAAAGACGTTTCTTCAAATTATTTTCTTTCTTTTTCATAGAACGACTATTCTGAAATAATAATTCTATATGCATTACGATCAAAAGCTATACTCCAACAAGAGCTAAACTACAATAAAATTGGTTAATTACATATTTGAAGAGGTTAGTATCCGAATTTTCAGCATTTTTCGAAGTATCCAATAATCTGCTATGTGATTCATTTTGCGATTTAAATGAATAACAATTTCGACTACTGATAGAAATTTCACAAAAATAAAAATCTTCTAACGATGATCGAGCAAGAATATCAACACGAGCGCAAGGCAATTTTTCATTTTTGATGTCATGAATTTTGAGAAAAAAATGTTCTAATTTTTATATTATTAACCGACTATTTAAAGTGTTTTTTCGAACGGCTTGAATATTTTGTTTAAAATAAACGGATACAGATCATGGATAAAATGAATGCTAACAAAATTTGCAGCAATTAGGATTTATCCGACGTGTTTCCGTTTCACGGATTCCTGTAGGATTTTGTCGGCTGGTCGGATCTTACAAGATCCTATGAGATCCGGTATCGGATTGATAGACCTGGGTAGGGGTGGACCATTTTTTTTAACAGGACTTAATTAAAAAACTTAATTAAGTGTTTCACTTAACACTTAACACTTAATATTAAAATTAAATTTTTCACTTAACCACATAATTCATTAATATTAAGTGATTAAGTGAAAAATTTAATTTTAATATAAAGTGTTAAGTGATTCACTTAATTTTAAAATTAAGCGATTAAGTGATTTTTAAAAAATTTAATTTTAAAACTAAGTGTTAAGTGATAACTTTAAACTTAATTTTAAGTTAATGTAAATGATACACCCCTAGCTATAAGGGGAAGGCGCAAAGGGTTGTTACTCATAGGTTCTCATAGGCTATTATATGGAGATATCCATATGTCCTCAAGGGCTATTATATGGGGTTACTCATAGGTCCTCAAGGACTATATTATGGTGATACTCATAGAACCCCAATGCGAGAGTCTGTATGCTCTTACTGGGTGAAAGATCAAAGCTTTCAGGTCATTTGTTAAAGGAGAAAAACCGGTCGTGAAGTATGCATGAGTTCTCGCTAGTATTGTATAATATCGTGTGGACATTCATTAAATTCACTACATATCTAGATAACAAAGTAAGGTATCATTATCTCTTATAGTTATGTTGTTTATCTTCATTGACAAACTAATCAAGAGCTAATTTGAAGCAAGTTGAATTTGACACTAGTTTTTTCTTAGAATTCAAATCTGAAAAAGATTGAGGTAGAACAAATCAGTTAGAGACACAATATGATTCCGGAAGATAACATTATTGTTTTTGACATATTTTCACTTGAAATTAAGAGAGCAAAGTGCACTGTAAACGTTGACTGTAAATAAGAACAGATTTTTATAGAAGAAATTAGTATACTGCTCAGAAATAGATATCATAATGATTTTATAGTGTAACGACCGTCAAAAGTAATCTTCCTATCTTTTCCTTCGGGAAAAGCAATTTGTTTGAATAAAAGACTTTATCAAGTGTGATTTGTTCTCTTACTTTATTTCATTTTTTTTTCTTATAAGTAGACTGAAATGTTAAATCTGCTTCGGTTATTTTCACCGTTCCTATTCTTCATATGTTTTTCTTCTGCCGATAACTTTTCACCCGACACATCTAATTACGATGCATATGGACTGAAAATAGCTGGCAATAGTTTGATGATTGTTGAAGCTCAAAATGTTCTAACTCAATTTCTCATCCAATTTGCACCGTACACTGATAATATTACACAAACCAGTGCGAGAAGTTGTTCTATTGAATACGATAATTCTTTACCATTTGTTTATACTGTTGCTCTTGGTAAAAATCAATCAACATACAACATTTTCTTTGTCGGTGAAGTTATTGATGTGGACAGCAGCAGTCCTTTGATGAATCGTACATTCGTTGGTGTTCTTACTTACACAGGCTCTCTTGTCACAATTGATTGTGATACTGGTTTCACTTCCACCGTACAGTTTGTGCCGGGCGCTTTTAATCATCAGGAGCATTTAGTAATGACAACTGATCCTCTTGGTCTGGTTGCCTATGGTTTCTCTGATTTCTTTATATTTTCATATACAGCATCCACTAATACTCTGGTCGTTCATCAAAATAATTCACTCTCTCCTTCAACATCGTTTTTACCGCTTGCTGTCGATTACGATGGTAATCGTGGTATTATTGCTGGTTTTCTCAATAATGGTCAAAGTTCACGTATGTAGAAGAAGTTCATAAACAATACGAATACATTATTCTTTGAATTTTTACGTTCTCTTTCTGTGTTTTAATAGGCATCAAATTCCGTGCAACTGTTATTATGTTTAGTATCAATGCAGGAACAACTTTCGCTACACCAATCAGTTCATGGATCTACCCAATGAATGGAACAACGTGGCAGGCTGGACAAACAAATGCAGGCGCTGATCTATATGCAGCTAAATTCGACATGTCTGTCAGTATAGATCCGACAGGTACACAAGTTCTCGTCGGTATTCAGTCGATGAACACGGTTTTTCTCTTCAGTTATACAACGACAACATTGACATTCGTTAGTTTAATAGATAATGGTCAAGGAATTGGTTTCGGTAAAGGAGTTGCCTGGTTCAATTATGCTTCTAACAGTTTTGCCATTCTTGTCAATGTTTATTCAACAAGTTACGTTTGGAGTTCTTCAAAAATCTACATGTATGAGAGTGCGCTGACCAATGCCTCAACTCCAGTCTCCATCTTTCCAAACATTCAACAGCAGCTTTATAGTTACATATCTTCTATCTTTCTCAATATCATCACGACTCCGGATAACTTAATTCTTCTCGATAATCAAGGAGGTCTTTTTGTTATTCTCCCATCACCCAGTAGCTATTATTCATCAACAACTGGCCCAAGTGTTCAAATTGTACCAGCATTCTCTTCACAATTGCCTTGTATTCCCGGTACATACAAGAATAGAACAAGTCTTGGACGTTGTCTACCATGTCCGACGGGAACAAAAAATGATGGAACCAATCTTACAGCATCAACTTGCGTTGACTGTGCAACGAATGCATTCTGTCCATTTGGTTCTACTAGTGATTCTATCTCAACTGATTCACTTAGCAATGTTATTCAAGTAATTGCTTATCCATCATCACCAGCTATTACTGGAATTGATGACATTCTATTTTTCACATTGTTTTCAATTGGTTCAACTTCACGCTGTGTTGCTCTTTCACCACTCTTTTGGACCTTGCTTGTTGGTGGTATTGTAATTCTAATTGGAAGTGGAATGTTTATCATGAAACACTGTATTAAACATCCAAAAGCTGCAGATAGTTATGAAAAATTAGAGAAAGTATTTAAACAAGCAGATCTCATTACTGCAGGTGACCTGTGGATCGGTGGTCTTGCTTCGTTTTGTATTATTGTTCTTAGTATTTCTTGCTGTGTATTCAGTGCTTATTTTTATAATTCATATCCAATTGAAACAGCTCCACCTTCAACATACACTTGTGATACAACTTTACGTAATGCACAATTTAGTTCATCTTTACAATCTTTATCGATACCGGTCGCAGATAATGTCCAAGATATGTTTAACTTGTTAAACAGTCAAGCAGTCAATCTTGATGTCGCTTTTATCAATACAGTTTACAACTGCACATCAGATGCAATTACATTGACCTATTACTCAGGTACAGCATGGGTGCCAATTTCAAGTCTTCCATGTACCTCATCGAACTACATACTTTCCTATAGTGTTCCCCTGCCATATCGACCAATTACTGTACAATTTACTTTACCGAACATATATACAATTGGTGGACTTCGCGTTGGTCTGAGTGGTGCCGGTAAAAACAAAACTTCGAAAAAATTGGTTCAAACTTTAGGTTTTTCACAAGTATTCACTCAAGATGGACGCATGGTAGGACAAAACATATATATTGTTCTCGAGTTAACAAAATTAATCAATGATACAAGTCCACTAGTCAGTGGCGATGATGATACATTCAGCGCTATTTGGGTTGAGAAATTTACATTGAATTACTATCAATCTTTCATGACAAGCACTGATTATTTGACTGCAACACCTAAATCATCGACAAATATGACATTGATTATTACTGAAACACCCTATTATATATTAAATTTACAAACACCAATTGCTCGATTACCTTTGATAATCTATCATGATTTTCTGTTTATAACAATGGTTATAGGAATGTTCGCTTTGATGTTTGTCCTATTTAAATTAATAATTATACCATTTATAGTCTTCCTCATCCGTATGTGTAAGCCAAACTATATTAAGGACAACCGAGTGGATGTTAACAGCCAGGTTGGTTTTATTGACGATGATTTAGAAAATCCAACTTCAAACTCAAATAAACAAAAGAGCAGCAAACACAAGAACAATAATTCTATTACTGATAATGTTGTTCCTGTTCAAAGTCAGACGTTCATTGAAAATGAAAATGCTAATCATGATAAAGATGACAGTCATCAGTCACCAGTAGTTGCTGATATTGATACGACTAAGAAACAATTAGGTGAACTTCCACCACTTGTTCGAGTTAGAACTGATGGCAACAGAATAATCAAAGAATATATCAACGAATAACAAAACACTAATGTATGGACAGGAAGTTTCGCTCTTTCTCTTATTAAAAACTATGTACATATGACAAAAATAATTTTCTTTTCTTTTTCTATTTTCATTCGTTTTTCATAGAGAATAATGTCTCAGAAGGTAATACCTAGATTTGACTTGAAAGAGAAAGAGTAAGGATTGCAACAGATTGAGCGTAGTTTGTGTTTGTGTAGATGCATTTTAACTTTTCTATATTTTTTTTCTTATGTATTGTTTTCTTTTTGCACTAACGTTTGAGAGTGTTTGTGTAGCTTTTGATTTTTAAAATAATAAATAAATGTATAGTGACATAAAATGTGACATTACTTCGTTTATCATTTGGTGAAGGGTGACTAATGATTTCGTTGAAAACGCTTCTATCTAAATTCAACAGCAATATAAATACGTGGAACAATCCGTTTCTTTTATCATTTGAAACTGTTACTGTCTCGCTATTAGACTTTAATCCGAAAGAAAAGAATAAATAAGTCTCATTTATGTCATTTCACTATATATGATAGAAATTTTTTTTAATTAGAACAGATATCGAATGATATCATACTCAAACATAAATAAGTTAAATAGTACTATTCGTCACCAAAAACTCTTTTTTATTATTATTAAATAGAAAATATTCAAAATGTATTGAATAAGCAAGTATACACAGTGTCTCATAAATATTACTATGATAAGTATTGAAATATCTCCACTCAGTGTCAATTAAATGGATTGAGTTTTTGGTTAATGGTGGAGATTTATCGAAAATTTTTTTTCACGCAATCCATCTGGAACGTTATTGAAATAGTTTTTCAATTGTTATCTAAGAGGATGAAGAGAAGATATTGAAGCCAACTTAATGAATGATATACGGTTGATTTAAATAAAGAAAATTTTAGAATTAATTAAATAAAATGATAAAATTTGTGTTTGGCAACTGAAAACGCACAATCGTTGCCTTTTGGATGCTGATTCACTCATTTGCTTACAGAAATCAGTGTTTTTTTGTTTGAAATTTTGAAAGATTTGTAACTGTTGACTTTTTAAATAATGAGTTAGGAAAAGTTGCTTTATTGAAATCTATTATCTTATTGATTAAGTCAGTTTCAATATCTTCTCTTCGTCCTCTTAGATGTTCAACTAAAAGCTATTTATATAAATTTCTACTACTAACCAAAAAATCAATTTATGAGACACTCTGTATATACCTTGCGTTTTTTTAATGTCTATTTCCTTTTGAATTAGTATTAGTTTTTCATAAAAATACGAATGGATAATCTTTCTTGACATAATGATACATTTCTATAGTTTTTCAATCAAAGAAAAAAAATGATGCGGAGCATATTGGATCGTAGCAGATACTGATAGATCCTAATATATCCTAGTGTCTACCAGACTCTATCTAAATCCATGACGATTATGCCATATTATCAGTTAATTTTGTTTCTTCAATTGAAATTCTGAGTTTAAATTTTGTCAATATCATTATGACAGATTGTAACATGTCTATTCATATATTCTGATTGATGATGAGTACAGTTCTTTATTGACATTTTACTATTACTTTATCAGCAAAAATATTCGTTATTTATTCATTGTGATAAAACAGTTCTAACAGCAGTCATTTTCGCCAGTAAATCTTGTCAACTTTTATTGAATTGATTATATTCATAAACAATCTGACGATGTCTTGATCAATGGAGAAAAAAAACTCGTTGTCGTTTAGATTGGATATTAATCAAACAAAACATAAACAAAACATTTTCAGTTTCAAAAATGAAATAATTTTGTTTCACCTTTTTTAGTAGAAATAAGAATAAACAAGTATAACCTTTGAAATAAGAACAAAAAAAAAAGATAAGCTTTATAATAAATGAAAGTTGAAAACAAAAAAACCTACATTGTAATATATATAAAATCGAGCACATAACTACTGTGATAATAATTTCAAATGCCTGAAACAGGAGTACCAACATATCGTGTATATGGTATTCGATGGATTCAATTAATAGTTTATGTCTTAGCAACATTTGCTAATGCAATGTGTAGTATGACATTCTCACCAATTGAATCTGAAGCATCAAAATTTTATTCAATATCAACAGCAGAAGTAAATACATTAACTATAATATTTTTATTTCTTTATGTTAATTGGTACAATATTATCCATATGGTTATCACAAATATTTTCAATGCGTATAATAATGATTATTGGATCTATATTAAATTTAGGTGTATTTATTCGTGTTTTATCATTAATTAAACCAAATATGGGATATATACCATTATTAATCGGTTAAATATTTCCAGCCATAGGAGCACCATTCTTTTTAAATTCAACAGCATTATTTGCTGCACGTTGGTTTCCACCTTCTCAATGTGATATAGTAACAGCTATTTGTTCAATGGCTTATCCATTAGGTAAAATTTTTCACAAAAATCAATTAAATAAAAATTTAATATAAATTTTAGGTTTAGCAATTGGTTCATTAGTTCCATCATTTATTGTCAATGATCCACCAACATCAAAAGAATTTTTTATTCTTTTAATAAGTGAAGCTGGTTTTACTGTATTAACAGTATTTTTATTAATAATTATATTTCGATCTGGTCCACCAACACCTCCATCACCATCTGAAGAATATTATCAAACAATAAATTTAAAAGAAGATTTAATTAATTTATTAACAAATCGTCATTATTTAATACTTTTAATGGGTTTTGGTCTTGGTTTAGCTTTATTCAATACTATAACAACATTATTATATCAATTAATTTAACCAAGTCAATATAGAAGTGAAGATGCTGGAATATTTGGTCCAGTTTTAATTGTTGCTGGTCTTGCTAATGGATTTCTAGCTGGAATTATTATGGATAAAACTCATGTTTATCGTCTTATATTAAAAATTTCATTAATTGGGTGCGAGTGTGGGGTGTGGGTGGGTGTGTGGAGTGTGGGTGTGATGGTATGGGTGTGGGGTGTGGGTGTGAGGGTATAGGTGTGGGGTGTGGGTGTGGATGAAGGACTTATCTATGCTCACACCCACACCCTTTGAATGCGGTAAAACTCGTGCAATTTGGGTGGAAAATGGGCAAAAAAATCGTTAAAACACCGTTTTAATAAAATTTTAACCCCGTTTTTAAAGGTCTTATCTGATTAGGTAGCGAACTGTCTTCATTAAACGCTCTAACTGAAGAACAGTTTTGAAATACTACTAATATAATTCTTCATGAGCGATTCTGATCTCTTCATTATGTCTATCTTACATACATTGATTACTGTAGCTTGATCGATATGAGGAATTTTTCGAAAAAGCTAACCATTGCGAACGATACACTAAGTGCTTTATTTTTTCTATCATTTTGGAAGATGTTTCTCAGAAAAAAAGTTTATCTGAGTTGAATGTATTTATTCTCATACACACAATATAGGTATACATTATTTATACTTAATCGTACGTGGATTCTAACTATTGGCTAAAACTTATGTCTATGGCTAATCTAGTCAATTATTCCTTAAATGAGCTGAAACACAAATGAATATATGAAAAGCGAAGAACGAGCAATCGAAGAAGAGAGAAAAGAATTAGTTTTTTTCTTTTCTTCGTGATCAGGACGAAGAAACAGGACAGAACGAAAGAGAAATTGTTTCGAACGTAGACGAATGATGAGCTATATTTCTATCTAGTAAAGAGAAAAACAGCTAAAATAAGAAATGACTAATTGTTGAAACTCGATGAAACGATTCAATTCGAGCTTACCTATTTTTTACAATTATAAGCAATAAGAAAATAGACTGACTCAATTTTTTTCGTTGATCATGCATGTTACTCATACATATATTGTCACTTTTAAAAGAGAGAAAAGAAAAAGATTTTCGATATCGTATGATTTAAGAGAAGAGGAATAATCTATATAGTCAATATGATGTCATAGCATATAGTGTAATAAGTGGTAGTTTCTGCTTACCATATACAGATTTGATAGTCACTATTATCCATTTACTCATTGAGATATTCCAGTGTACAATCAAACTAGAGTTGACTTTCTAAAACGTGAGTAGAATAAACTGATGTTGGACAATATGATATTATAATATTCTTTAAAAAATTCAATGTAATATCTGTTGTCGATAGTGTGATTATGAAAAACTATTCAATGAGATTTGTCACAAGTCTATATTTATCCAGCATATCGGTTTGTGATAGTATGATCGAAACTAATAAAAGAAAAGCTTGCTTTTTGCCCTCATCATATATTAACAAAGAATGATATTTGTTTTAACGATCTACCATAGTACTTGGACATCGGTAAGAAAATACAATGAGAATACATCTAAAACCATGATAAAGAGTTACTAGTAGGAGTACTCTTAATTGTTTTGTTATGCTTCTCATTTCTTTAGCTTCGATTATTATACACATACGCATTGTAATGATCAATTACTTATTACTAATAAGCGATATATACCATCACTTACTAATTTCTAAAAAATAGACAAATTGATTACTCATTAGTAATTGTTACATGATTCAGATATATTCGATCGCATATAAGCACTGTATACTAATTAAACTAGCCACTTACAACTCGCTAGCAACAGGTGAGTAGTAATAACTATCGTCGACTAGCAACTACTATGTGATAGAGGCGCTACTTACTCAGAATGTTACAATAATATAATTTTTTCAGTTACAGCTTATTTTTTAATAATCACAGCTAAACGGAGAAAGATCGTTTAAATGTGTTTTTCCGGAAAGACACGATAATAAGACGTTTTAAACGATTTCAGTCAGAATTTTGGAAGATAAACTGTTAAAAGGCGTTTAATGTAAAAATTTCGTTGATAAATGCGTTTATAGCCGTTAAATGTCTGCCTGATGCGTGTGGATGTGGATCTGAGTGGACTGAAGAGAAGAGATCTATACTTCCTCACATCCTCAAGATTACCATATTGTAAAATACTTTTAGACAATTTTCGATATCGATATGAGTAAACATATCTCATTAGGATTTCGAAAATTTTCATTGTTTTCTTAAAAGTAATCCCATTCTCAAGAGATTAAGTCATATTAAAGAAAATAGTTCATCCCTAGTCGATAGGAAGACGTCGAAATGTCAAACAAAAATAAGCTCATATTTTTCTGTGAAATTTTATCAGATGGTTTATCATAGGTGAAGAATTCGAATCCGACGTCAGACTTTTGATTTTTTGAATATTTTCATCATGAATTATTGATAATTTTTAGTATTTTCCAAAGCATTTGGCGTCGTATACATTCAGTAGTGTAAAGCTCGAAGATTAATTTCAAATGAAAAATTAACTTTTTAAATGGCCATATTTTCTTCTAATGTTGTACTGTTCAGCTGTTGAATATAATGATTACAATAGTTTCTCATATATTCTATAAAAATCGACCAGAGGGTTATCATAGGTGAGTAATCCAAATTCTATGTCAAATTTTGATTTTTCTAATATTCTGTAACATGAATTACCAAAGAGTTTTGTTGATAATATTTAAAAAAGATCGCTATAGGATACATTCGCATTCACACGCCATAAGATGCCCGATATATCGACTAGAGTTGAGCTGATCATGGCACTCGGTTAGTTCTTAGATTCTGGACACATTGTTATGTGACCTAAAGAGTTAAGTGAATTATGCTGATCTTTTTTCTAGCATGTTTAATTTCGACTGTATTGACTCGATTCTAGATTTTTAACTGAGTTTCATCGACATATCATCCTCTTCTATCTCTACAGAAGATTCTTCAGTATCGGTAATTGATTATGACAACATTACTATCTACAGTGTCAACCATGTCGACTTTGCCCATTGATGACAATAGTCAATTGGATGATTTTAATACTTTAATGGAGGAAAATCAATCCACTGGTATCGATCAACATCATCGAGAGCCAACGTCTCGCGTACTCGAACATGATCTATATCGATTGGACTTGAAAGATAGTCCAAAAGCAGTAGAAAATGTAAAAGAGAAACGATCGAATTCTTTCCCGACAACTCTACCTGATCCGTCCGATCCACCTTCATCACCATTCAACCACCAAAGATTATTAGTAAGCTATGCAGGTGACGATCATGATGAACAGTTTTACTTGTTGTCATCATCGACCGATGTTATGGTAGCTGGTCAACCATCTTCTCATTGTGATCAATGCTCGTCGAGACAAGACGAGCAATCAATCGAATCTGAGTCACTTATCATCTCGAACAATAGGTTGCTTTTTCCGTTATTCAGTGTCTTCCAACCAATTCCGACAAAACCATTGGAATCGTTCTCCGAATTCGGCAGCCAAGCTTCCATTTCATATGGAGTCGATTGGAGCGATCGTGCTCTTCCCACATCTCACTGCTGGTTTCCTTTGATATGCAAGGATCCATCGACTGATGAGTCATGTGTCCACGTCTCTTGTATAGATGTGAAACGAAATTATCAATCGATGCTACTACAATGTGAATCGTGTGGTTTGGTTGCACATTCGCATCATTTGAATGATTCACAGGCAATCGAAACCAATTTTCTTCCATCCTGTCGTCCATCATTTGTTGATAACACAACATCAGGAAATTCACTTCTCGAAAGCGAAGATAATCCATCCAAATATGATAGACATTTTTGGTCTCATGTGTCCGTACTTCCGAAACCGTGCGTGTACTGCCAACAGACATCGACGACTAAGACCCAATTCAGAAATAGAAACGATCGATTATTGGTGACGCCTGCTTTGGATATGATCGTTCATGCCACATCGGTCATACATTCTATACCGGAAAATTCCAGTTTAAACATGTTCGAATCTTCTCATGGTCTCGTTTGTTTATGGTGCTCACGAAGTTATCATCAATCGTGCTGGGAAAGTCTTGCTGTTCAAGATGACAATACCCAATGTGACTACGGAATATTTGAGTAAGTTTATAATGATGATTATGCAGATCAAATAAAAAGAAACCTTGCATAGTTTTAATGCTCATGAGAATACTCAGTCACACTTCTCGTCAGATTCATCATTATCTTGATACTTTTTCATTGCTATTTGTTAATGATTATTGCTTAAGTTCGATTTAATCGTAGGATCACTGAATGTTGAAACATGCTTACAAATATACAAAGGTTCGAGTTATATTCAAAAGAAAATTCTTTCTGATTTTTGAGTTCATCCAGAAGTTGTTTAGAGTTCTCCGATTGTTCTCTTCGTTCAACTCTAATCACTTGTCGAGATCAATATGTTGATTTCTTTCGATAGAAATATTATTGTTCGACCGCAGTGGCTTAGTCGTTCCAGCGAATCTCCAACTGATTTCAGAGCCCGATTGCCTTCGCATTCGATCAATAGCAATTTTGAATTAAACTCTTTTCCGTATACACCCGTTATTGTGTTCATAAATAAACGTTCTGGTGGTCAACAGGGAGACAAGATCTATCGCGAACTATTACGAAAACTCAATCCACGTCAAATATTTCTTCTAGAAGACGATGCTACTATCACACACGCTCTCAACATCTACTCGTCACTACCTAATATTCGTCTTTGTGTGTGTGGTGGTGATGGAAGTGTCAATTGGATTCTTGGCCATCTAGCCCAGGCTTATCCATCGGGAAATAATCCGCCAGTGAGCATTTGTCCTTTAGGAACGGGTAATGATCTTTCACGCGTATTAGTTTGGGGCGAACAATACGATTCGAAGCGTCTGTTTCATACACTCGTACAAATTCCACAAGCTAAAGTGGTTGCACTTGATCGTTGGGAAGTCCAGCTCGAACAACTCGATGTGTCAACATTGTCTTCAATAACACAACAAAATCGAAAGAGTGAATTTCAAATCGGTTGTCCACTTCAACTGTTAGTCAAGCATCCAAAATTTGTTCGCAATAAACATCAAGCCTACTATGAAAATCATCACAAGTTACCAAGCACACGCTTCATCAATTACATGAGTTTTGGTTTAGACGCAGCCATTGCGCTAGATTTTCATGATAAACGTACACGTGATCCATCGAAATTTTCGTCACCATGGAAAAATAAGCTTATGTACTTGAATAGAAGCTGCAAATATTTCAGTGATTTTGCTCGAGCGAATATGTGGAATCTCAGCTCTTATATTCGTTTGATTTGCGATGGTTGCAATCTAACTGATGCTATACGTGATTGTCATACATTAGTCGTACTCAACATTCCAGGCTATGCAGCCGGTACGAATCCATGGGGAAAATCTTCATCAACAAGCCCAGTTATCTTTCATAGTGATCAATCATCGATTTCTCAAACAGCTAGCAATTCTACGGATGAGAGGTCGGTAAGTTCAGTCAATGTATTCGATTCATTAGCTGATATACACGAAGCTAGTAAGTCTGCCACTTTGAATGAAGATGGTATACATCAAATGGCTAGCTCATCGACGGCAACAATCTTAACTGATTGTGTCGAGCGACAAGATTTCGGTGATCAAAAAATTGAAGTTATCGGCTTGAGTGCTGTACATATGGCTACGATCCATATGGGTTTTAGTGGCAATCGAATCGCTCAATGTAATCAATTGCGTATAGAATTCTGCAGTCCGATGACGGCACAAATGGATGGTGAACCGTTCTATCTTCCGGCTTCAGTCGCTATCAACATTAACCATGCTGGCCAAGTACTTGTGTTAAAGAATCAGAACTAATAGATGAAAATATTAATATGTGTTTGTACTGCATGTACTATGTCATTTCTGTTTGAAGTGTACTTTTTCTTATACTGTTTTCGATTGACAAAATCACGACCTGTTGAACGTTGGATGAAGTCCATAGCTGGATGTGGGTGTGGGTGTGAGTATACTCGCATAAATATTGAATGGAATTTGTGTTATAATAAATACTAAAACATTAGATATTGCTTCATTGCTTAGAATTCTCATTGAGATGTTATACTAAACTATTAAATTCAGATGAGTTTAAGAGTTATAAAAGGATTTGTCTTCTATGTTCAATATTTTTCGAAACATTAAAATGTTCTTTTATTATTCAGCAATTGTTTTATTCTACATGCTGCTATTTTTGGATATTTAATAAACGTCTGATTCAGACTTTAAGTTTGATTTGTTGTCGTGTTCATAAGATCTTAGAGAGATATCAATAAAATATTCATGAGGAAACATTTTCAGCTGATCCATCGTTTTTGAGTTCGGACTCAGTGCATAAGGTAGAGTCCAATGAAATATGAAAGATCTCAAAAGAATAAGTTTCTTTAGGCGTCTATTCAGAGTTATAGATATTTTACTGAATTTCAGCTTCGGACATGGTAAATACCAACAAATCGGACGACGGTATTCGACCTGAGATCTTATTTACAGACAGGTCAATTTATCAATAGAATGCCCTGAAAATTTCAACTCAAAAGAATATTTCCTTCTCAAGATATTAAAGTCTCAAAAAAAAAAAAAAAAAAAAAAACTATAGTAACTTTCATAGAATATGAGTGATTTTTGGGAGTTTCATATCTTGGCGAGGAAATATTCTTTTGAGCTGAAATTTTCAGCAAATTCTATTAACAAATAGTTCTGTCTGTGGACAGAATTCCAAGTCGAAATATCATCATTCGATTCGTTGGTATTTACCATGCCCGAGGCTAAAATTTTAGTAAAATGCCTATAACTCTGAACGAAAGATCTAAAGGCACTGATGCTTTTGAGGTTTCTCATGTCTCACTGGATTCTAAGTTACCTTATGCACAGAGTTCGAACTAAAAAGCGATTGATCAGTTGAAAACACCCCTTCTTCAGCCTGATATCTTGTCATAAAAACTTTGCTGATTCTAATAGATCAGCAATCTAGTTAGTTATCAATAAACTCAATACTATTTGATATAGTTAATAATAAAGAAAAAAGTAATCCAGTTGAAACTCGACATATTTCAATACGAATAAAAATTGTTAATGATAAAAGATTGCCTATAAAATCACCTATATAAACAATTATTCCGAGAATAACAAGTACAACAATTTCTTGTTTTGTAAGAACACGAGACGTTGAATTATACACTTGTTCCAATGAATTAAAACTATATAGGTAACAAATGAAAACTAAATATTTAAATAATTAGTCATTAATCTTTGTTTTTATATTAAATCAGAAAAAAAATAGGTCACAACAAAATTATCGCATTATAAGTCATTATATATTCAGATTGATAGTCAACTATGAAAGAGAGGTAATGTATAATTTGAATGACGCATTGGTGTCTATTCAAGGGTGTGGGTGTAGGTGTGGGTGTGTGGGTGGGTGAGTGTGGGTGTGCGTGGGGGTGGGTATGGATGTGGATGTGGATAACTCCTGTATAACTACCCATACTCACACCCACACCCACCCTGTGATAAAATACTGGGAAAAATTTAATATATCATATTGGTAAAAAATCAGTATGTAATGTATAGATATAACTGTTCAAGTGATATAGCGATCAGAAAAAAGAAAACAACTAGCCAGTACAAAATGAAAAGGACAACGAACGCATATAAAAATGAATCTGCAAGAGCTATTCTCTAATAAAACTGAATCGAGCGGAATGTATTAAGAGTACAACAACCTACCTTTGAAATTACTGTGGCGTATGCATTATTTCAGTTATAATTAACAAACAAAGATCTTGAAAATATATAAGAAAAAACGTTCAAAACCTTATCTTTATCTTCCTTATTGGAATACGAGCTATAATTTATAGATTAATTGTTCTGTGTGACAACAACATGTCATGTAAAATCAAATAAATCGCTATTCAAGAAGAGTGTATCTTATCAATCACTCGACTAGTGTTTATTTCTATAATCAGTAAATAAAAAGAAATAAATATATTTGATTTAGAAGCAATATCATGAAAACAGTGTTTCACAATATCAACCATGTAATTATAGCGAGTATGAACTTGTTACTTCTCGAAGTATCAAAAAGAATAAATGAATACATGGAGGAACGTATATTGATGAGAAGAAAAGAGTGATAACAAAGTAAAAAAAAGGTATATTAGCTATATCATACGTTCATGTGCTCATCTCCCTTTTTTTGCCAAATTCTTTTTTTAATTATAAATCTATCAAAATATTCTTTTTATATGTTTTATTTAAGATTCTAGTCTAGTTTGCAAGATCCTGTGAATTGAATACGAATCTGGTCAATATAATCTCGACTAAAAAGTCGAGAAAACTTCTGATTTGGTAAGAATCGTGCAACTGTTAGACACTCAATCTGATCTATTTGAGAAATACAATCTAAAAGGAGTACTGAAGTTTATTGATAGACATCAGGACACATTCTCTCATAGAAACGACAGATTCATAACAATGACTTCTCATACATGTGCTAGATATCTTTAGTAAAATATTTTCGTCATCACACACCATGATAGACGTTTGTGTTATACAATCACAGACCGCTTATCGATACAGCTTCGCTATAATATATGAAATATTTACTTATTGCATTTACAGTTGCACTAATGATCCGTCGACGAATTAGCAGTTGCAATTCCTCAGTTCTTGTATGTTGCTGTCTTCACAGAAATGCAAAACATAAATTTATTATATAAATTTCAATTCGAAATTCGATCAGTGTCTATCAAGTGAAAATGTAATGAATTTTTCATTGATTATTTTTATTTTTTTGCAGTGATTCAGAACACAACAACTTCGATACTCTTCCGTATAACAAAGAAAATGAATAAGAAAATAAAAGATGAAAAATTCTCAATAATTCTATTCCTTATCCAATTTTTTCTATATGGTGAATTTTTTCATTCTTAAATTCAAGATTTCTTACATTTGTTGTATTTTCCCACTTTCATTTCCTATGTTAACTTTTGACAAGTATGTAAAAAATTAGTCAAAATTTGAATAGAATGATTGATTTATCGATTATATGTACATATCAACAAATTTTGTTCAAACATTACTCATCAATCATTCTTCACTTTTCTAAACGAGCCTTATCAACATTCAATGTTATAAAGCGAAATTTGTATTCTTCTATCAAGAAAATGTATTTGCGATTCCTTTCCCCAATGATGAAATAGCTGAATCTATACTATCTAAGTATCGAACAATCTTATTCGATAAAACAAATGATTTGATAAGGTACAAATTATACGGCCCATGTTATTATTTAGGTTTTTTTCCTTTTCCTTTCTTCGTTCATAGAAATAATAAAATAATCCAATATATTAATCAATTGTTTCAAATATTTCACAGCATCATATCTTAATGAATATTGATAAAAAACCTGCATATTCTTCTATTTTTTATTTTTCAGCAATGTCAGAAAAAAATTTATGTACTGTTATAACATGTGACGATACAATCAACGAATTATACCAATGTCATTGTTGTTTTACAACTTGTGTGTTTAACTCATTTGATTCAACATGTTGAAATAGCAAAACAAAATAGACAACAATTAAATTATCTTCGTAATGAATTAAATAGGGTTATAAATAAACTTAAGTTAATTGTTGAAGAAAAACTATTGACTATTAAACATGAACAAAACTTGATTGAACAAGCAAAACAATTTCTTAATACACCTAATAGTACTATCGAAGAATTACAGAATAGTTTCGAACAACTTAATCAAGCAATTATATCAAATCGTTCAGGTAAAAAAAGACTAAATCAGATTATCGTTTTTTTTCTGGTTTATTACTTTGCCTTTATTTTTTTATAGAAGAAATCATATTGAAAGTTGAACCTTTATTAACGAATATGGAAGAATGCTCTTATATTCGCGAGCATGATATGAAAAATACGAATTTGAATGGTAAAATAAAATCTCTCTCTTTGTAAACTCAAGTTTAATTGTACAAGATTAATTGAGATTGAAGAGTAGTTTTTCCATAAGCAACCTTATTCGATTTCGTTTGTACAACGTCTATGATTTTGATCAAATCATAGACGTTGATATTTCAACTTCCTCAAATGTAACGCGATGACATTTCGGCGACAATATTAGCAATTTTTCTCAGTAATTAGGTTATCTAGTAAGCTTTTACTTTCATTATTAGATGTATCTTTGCCTTATCCATAACCTCTGAAGATTTTGGCTCGTTTAAAAAAAAAAGCAAAAACAACATATGACGAACAAGTGTCGAAAAGTTTAGGGCGCCGTGTTTGTTTCTTACTTTGTTACGAGTGTACGCTACATTACAATAAATCTTCCGTAGAAGTTTTGTAGCAGACACTTTGAAGTACTCAACGAAAAAAAGAATTCTTTAAATAGATTTTTTTATTTTGAAGAGTGGTCAGTTTAACTAATATAACACGATGACAATGATTTCTACTAACAAGCTTTTTTCTATGTTACGTTTGCTATATCTATAATTGTCTAAAAACGAGATACTATTTTTATTTCCATGATTAAACTATACAAATGTTAAATATCTTTTCTCACACTTTATCTCATACGCTACAAGATCCACGTAATGGATTTTAAAAAAGAAGGATTTTGAGTTGTTGGTCATCAGGGCTTGAAACGGGCCGCCCGGTCCGGAGTAAGTTTTTATAAAAATATATAGATGTCAATCAATCTAGAATTTATTAAAAAATTATTATCGTAGACGCTATCTCGAATTTTAATTGTAATGAATACTAAAAGACAATTAGAAAATTTACTTAAATGATCATAATAAAATTTATGAACATAATCTCTTATAAACTTTGTTTTGTCTACTCTTAGCAAATTTTTATTATAGACTTAATATAATTTCGATTGGTAAAGATTAGTTCATATAGTTTCTTCGTAACATAGAAGAGAAAGCTTTTAAAATATGTTTAGAATTAGTAGAAGATTTACGAACGTCAAAAGATATAACTTTAAAAAAATAAACATAATCTATTTAAGATCATGGATCTTCAACAAATGTTATACCAAATTTGATGGATACGATCTTATCTAAGTAAGTTTCTTTTTTATTAGAAGAAATTTAAGGTGTACTACATATTTGCATTTTTCAGTGAAACAACGAAATTCATCGAGGTAAAAATAATTATATTCATATGAATATCAATAAAATCAATTTATTTAATTGAAGCACGTCATATGTCAAATATTGCTATATTACATCTAATTACTGATTAATCATATTAGTATAAGTTACAATTCAACATTTCTCTCATTCTAATATACTCAACAGTGAACCCAATAGATATTTGTTCTTAGTATATATTGTTAACCGACAAAGAAAATAAACATTCTTAATAGCATAACTAAATAAACAATAAACACAAGTGATGCGATAGTCGATTAAGAAAGAAATGCTCTACAAAATTGTGTTTAACAATCTGATTTCTTTTTGGTTTTAGTACATGAAAATAACTATTATCTTCACTGAAAAATTAAATTAGCACATTTTTTTACATACCAGATTCTAATTGCAAGTATCTACGAACTGCATTTTATATAAAACATTAGTTTTTAAATATTAAAATATTATGTAACTATTATTTTTTTTATAGTTCTTCAATCAATAACAGAAAAATTTCGACTTTATTTTGAATCTTTTTATAATCGCCGACAGAATAGCTTAAAATTTGGGAAAATATCGATATATTCTATGGACAACAGAGAATATTGTAGGGCACAAAGAAATTTTATTATTCGTACAGTTTTACCAAGAGGATGGGGCTAAAATCTTTGTCTTGCTTCACAAAAGAAAAAATAATATGCAAAAAACTTAAGGTTTGTTAAATTTTCCTCATAAAAAATCGATTCAAATATACATAGTTTTTATTGAATTTGAGTTTAGTTAAGAGTAGAAACTGATTAGAACCGAAGATTTTTCTTATAACAGATATCTTAAGTTTTCATTTCATACGATTTACTCAGTCTAGAAGTTCATGAATGCTAAAAAAACCTAAACGAAAATAAAAACGAATCAGCAGTTATGTTTAAATTTTAAAACAGTATTTTTAGTGTTTCAGTTAGACAAATTCTTATTGCTGAGCAAAATATTTTTTATCTTTAGTTCAAAAAATTTAAGATGTATCTTGTAATAATCAAGACGAAAATATGTAGTATAAGAAAAGAATTTAATTGTTGATATCACTTCGACGTTTTATATTATTGAAGAAACGAGATCTCATTTAAAATGCTATATGCAAAAATTATTTTTCTATAGTTAGTTTGTATCCATAGTCTATCATATCTTCTTTGTCAACTACTTGGTAAAAAATAAATAATAGACTATCTAAAATAGTTTCCTTAATATTTGTTTTTCTTTTATTTTAAAAGAATATATAAGAAAAACGTTTTTTAAATATATATTGTAAACAAAAAAAGAGATTTTATTTACATTCATTCGTTATTTTTAATTACAACGAAACTAAAACAGTACTTCCAAATAAAATGACATATTTACGAAATGTAATCAATAAAAGATGAATGAGAAGTTTGAAAGCAATGACAAATATTTTATCAAGACTTGGGATCTTGTAATAAACACTTATATTCCACTTAAAGATTCAAATCTGATTTGCCCAAAGGATAGAGTGGTACAACAAGATTGCCCTATGACAATTTCCAGTAGGTAAAGACTTCTTTAGAAAGATGCGTTCTTAGATTCTTGTTACTTTATTGTTTTTAAATACTCTAACATTCTCAAATTATGAAATATAAAGCCATTAAGATTGGTTGAATGTAAGAACTTAAGTGTTTGAGTATGTTGCCAAAAGGTCGATTTTCAATTGTTTCTCTTCTACAGTACCGCACAAATAGAAGAGATTTTATTCAAAATTCTTCAGATTACTTTAGTAAAGAATCATAAAATTAATGATTTTTGGCTAAAGAAACAGATACTACCATCTAGCTCGTTCACAGAAAACCTTACAAAATGACCAGTTTTATGAAGTTTTGATTATTGAAAGTCAATTAGTATAATGTATAACCTTTATATTCGAAATCGGTAACATTTAAATATGTACCAGAAACAATCTTCCTGTTGAAATTTCAACTAACAGGTAGGTTCCGATGAAAGTTTTAGAAATAGATGATGGAAGGAATATATATATGAGTAAAATTTTGACGAAAAATAGTTTTTGGTGCATCTTTCATCTTGATTTCCAATTTTTTACTTTGTTTTCATATAAATTGATTTTAGAAAGTCTTAGTGTGGAATTATTACCGATTTTTATGACATTTTCAATGAGAATAAGTCTTTTTTTAAATTTTTTTCTAATACCAAAAACAACGTACCATTACTGTTCATTGTTTGTCCAATATGTAAAATATTTGTATCTCGAAGTTTTTCTCTTTCAGATAATGCACATATAAATTAGAGATGAATTTTCTAAATTAAAACCTTTTTATCTACGTAGTAAATGAAAAAATCTAACATTTCAGTTAAATGCTACATGAATTCAATTTATATGAATGTGGTATTTCATCGTTTCTCCTACTGTTAAATCGGTTTGTTTGTCCATTGCGTACATGTCTAAATTAGTTCTTATTTTCTATCATATAATTTCAGCATTGTGTTTGAGATGTTCTATCATGCTTTTCTTTTCAGGATGAACATGTCAATAAAAAACAAAAGAAGATTAAAAAAAAGCCATGCAGAATGATTGTTAGTCAATGTCCATTAACATTTAATGGAGCATATGGCCTTAGTGAAGAAAATCATTCTATTAAATTTTGTGAATATGGACAAAATCGTCGAATTCGATTATATGAACATTTCCGACAGAAGCATAAATTAAAAGAAGTTTATATTAAACGTTTACTACTAGCTATTGCTGATAATCAAGATCCTAGGAAGACAAAATTATTTCATGAAAATGAAAGTATAATTGATCCATTTTGGAAAGTACCATGTCCTTTTATTAATGGACCGTCATCAGAATGTTGTCAAAAATCTTTAAAAAAGATATCATGTGCATATCGATTTATTCAATTTGATAGATTAAAATTTCATTTAGAACGTTATCATCATGTTGATAATAGACATGCACTTAAGATAGTGAACAATTTCAAAACAATGCGCGCAAAACATGATACAGTTTCAATTTCACAAATTCTATCAATACAATCAGAAGAATAGAAAATCTTCATATTATTTTTATTGATATTTGTCTCATGTCTTTTTTTTCGATGTATTTCAATAAAGAATTTAATAATTTGATAAAAATATTTAATTATGTAATTTGTTGCTATTAATATGTATTTGAGTTTGTGTGGTACATGTTGATCAATCGATAGGATGTATGTGTAGGATGTGAGTATCCAATTCAGCTACATTCTTCCATACCTACACTCGAAGAGAAGTCTCTTGAGGATGTGGGTTAATAGAGGAGTTACATCAAAGTCTACACCCATACCCACACCATCTAGTTGATTGATTGTCTTCCTTCTTTTAATTATAAAGTTTAGGTCACATAGATTATACTTGATTGATACGTAAACAAGTTAAACACAGTTGCAGCGTCTTGATACTTATCTATCATAATATCTTTTCTATGGTATAGCAGTCATAAGTAGAATTTGTTGTCATGCTCTTTTTTATGTTACCATGTCCTTAGTATTTTTTCTTCGTATTAAAAGAAAATATTTTTTTCTTTAATGTTATCAAGTTCTCTATATTTTCATTTCAGAATAGTTCACAATTTATTATTAAAAAATGTTTAATATTTATTAATTTTGTTTATTTCCTTACTTTTAAAGTATATAAATTGCACTTTTGTTACTATTTGTTTCTTTTAATTTTCTCTTCTTTTATTTTCTTACTAAGATACATAGATGTCTGTTAGGGACGAAAAACACACACATCAACTACAGACACGACAGAGAAAGAGGAAAAAAAAACAAGTCAATATCAAATAATAATATTACCTGTTTACGGCAACGAAAGGACTCACAAAATATATAAGGATAAGAGCTAACAAAGTAGCAAGAAATAATATTCTCATAGTATTCTTTTCTTATCTAGAGTGCTGCAATAAAAAAAAGAAATTTTGAACTTATCTTGTTTCTTCCACCGATTTAGCTATAGAAATATTTTTTGTTAATCTTAATGGTGTTGAATAGTCATAGACAACATCAAATCTAACAAAAAATCGTGTGTAGAATTTTAATACAGCATATTAGACAGCAATTTAGTTTCTAAAATCAAATTTAAACGAAGATATTGAACAAATTCAATACCTTCAAACTATTCCACAATGGATTGCTATTCGATAGAGCATCAGAGTTTCTGGATAGTATAACGACTAATCGGAAACCGACCGATTATTCGAAACAATCTCATTGATGAATTCTTTTCTGCTTAGCTCTCGAAATGCGTTTCGTATAAATGACTCAAAATTTGTGATGAGACTAACTATTGATAGTTCATTGATGATTATTTTGTAGTAAGAAAGGCAAATATATTTATATTATCTTTCTGTCTATGGATATTAAATTTTTTTTTGGAAACCATGAACTCATGTATACTGCTAAAACAGAAAATAATTAATAGATTGAATTGATGTATTAAAACGAAAGTGTAGAATCGCTGAAAAACGTTTCCATTGATCAAAATTAAACTATATAGCAAAAATTCTTTTGTCACCAGGTTTTTCTTCATAGAGCAATGGCAACTTCGATAAGCTTCGAGTGATTGAAATTAAATCAAACCATCGATAGCAGCTGTTCGACAGGTTTTTATCATTTTGACTACTCGAGAATCCGATGGTTTTCGACTGATCGAAATGGATTCAAGCAGTCGAAAATTAATGTTCGATAGGAGAATGTATCCGATGAATTTGGATATCAAACAGAACAAGAAAAAACCATATCTATTTCGAGTTTCGACCATTCATTGCATCACTCACTCACTGACTTTTTATGATCCGCTTTGACTATATCAAAATTCTTTTAGCGAATCTCTGAATTGACAATGTGATAAATTTTTTTCTGTATTCATTTTATTTTTTGCATTCAAGAAGAATAAAAAGATCCAAGTATTCTTTCACTTAACAAAGCAACAGCAGTTTAACTCTTCGATATATTGCTATTCAAAATTTGGATTTTTGATGTTTTGCTGCTCTTCTTTTACATGTTGACTTTTCATAGATACGTCAAAAGTTGTTCAAAGAAAAACTTGAATATGTCAATCGATTTATTGATCATACATTTACTACTGTGACGAATTATTATGTGTCGTCATTTTCTCATTTATGTTTTCCTTTTTCTCTTTTCCTATCTTTCTTAGCACACATGTGTAGAACCTTTGTTTGTGTTTTACTTATCAACCATTCTCAACTGTTTTCCTTTCTCTTTATCTCGTATTTCTTCCATCAATATATCGAAGAATAAACAGCAAATGGTCCAAAAAGCTGTAGAGCAATATTCGATTCAATGTGATTCAGCTTCTTAGAAAAAAAAAATGGCATGATATTTGTATTTGAACTCTCTGAGTCTACTTCCTCGAAGTTATTGAAGATTGATTCAGAGAAGACTGATATTCATACCTTTCTACCGTCTTTAATATTCTCTTTCAATTTTGATATATGATTTCTTGACTGAGACATAAAGCATCTCTTTTCAATACAATGAAATTTTTATTTCTTTAACTCTAGACGATGAAATTTTTTCAACATGTGAAAAATTTTGATTGTAATGAAATTTTCACGATTATTTCTCATTTCTTCTTAGCTTCTATGAATGAATTTCGTTATCGATATTTATTGACTATTTTGTTCGATAAAACAAAGTATAATAACATTACATTCTGAATGTTCTTTGTTTTCTTCTTTCTCTTTCCTCTCTTTTTCTTTTCCGTGTTTGTCGGTCAGTCAATCATATAAAATGTTTCGTCCATAGTAATCCCCATCATATCTCGACGAACATTGAAGAATAAAACTTTTCGCAATTTTTATTTTTCAGAAATGCCCATAAATAGCTCATGTACTGATATAACATGTGATGATGAAATTAAAGAATTATATGAATGTCATTGTTGTTTACGTCTTGTTTGTTTAAACCATTTGATTGAACATGTTGAAATTGCAAAAAAAACTAAACAACGATTAAATAGTCTTTGTAATGAATTAAATACAATGGTAAATATATTTAAACAAATTGTTGAAGAAAAACGATTAACTATTGAACGTGAACAAAATTTGATTGAACAAGCAAAACAATTTCTTAATGAACCCGATATTTCAATTGAGAAACTAGAAAATATTTTCGAAAAAGTTCATCAAGGAATAACATCAAATCGTTCAGGTAAAAAACTAAATTTCGACAATCACTTTTTTTATTTATTGCTTTTCTGCTATTTTTTTTTGTTATGGAAGAAATGACAGTGAAAGTCGAACCATCATTATCAGAAATTCAATATTGTTCATGTATTTGTAAATGTAATAAAGAAAATATGAATTCAAATGGTAAGATGAAATTTCTTTCGAAAAATATTATCTTTTCTTTTCATTGTTTATTCTTATTTGTTCTGAGCTTATCAATCAGTATTTGAACTCTTATTGATACCAGAAAAAAAAATTTCTTACTAAAAATCGTTGTAGTTAATGAGTCAAATTATGATCGTTCTACCGAATTTTCAATCTGCAAGTGCTCATAGACATAAGTCATACAACCCTCCGAATAGCCTGAAAGTTTTTGCTAAGAAAATGTCTAACTATCAAGATATGACATTTTCAAGTAAATTTGATTTTGGCCATTACCTATTTATTACAAATCTAACATCTTCAAATCAACGTAATTCGGTTAATTTATTTTAATAAATTCTGAAAGATAAATCGAAAATTCAATAAATCGGCTCGTGAGATCAGTCCATGCAGTTCTCTTGTAGAATTAAAAATATAAGTTTTTCCTATGTTTAGATGTAGCCGAAGAATCGGAAATCTCAAAAGGTAAGTTAAATTTTCTTTAATTTCAAAAATAAGAACAAACATGATTGATTTAAGGTGATGTATTATATTTAGAAGATATCAATTATGATTTTACTGATCTTGAAACAACGAAATCATCTATTCAGGTAAAAATAATTATATCGATAAAAAAATATTTCTATCGTATTTAAATATATATTAAAGACAGTAGTATAACTATTTGTTTTTATCAGACAATTGGTAAAATTTTGCTCTAAGTCCAATGACCATAAATCGTTAAATTAAAAAAAAATACCAATAGTAAATAAAATAAAAAACGGTATCATTCAATTACAGGTTATTTAGAAAAGCAAATTTCTAAGTCAAGGAATTTTATTTTCTATGAAATGAATCGTACATGATATTTCAATATTCATTATTATTTTTTTTTCAGGATGAACATGTAAATGACGAAGAAGTGGAACATGAAGGAAAATTATACAGAAAAATGTTTAATAAATGTCCATTAACATTTGATGGAGCATATGGTCTTACGAAAGCAAATCATTCTATTGAATTTTGTAAACATGGTACAACTCGTCGAATGGCATTATATCGTCATTTCATGTACAAGCATAAATTAAAAAAAGTTTATGTTAAACGTTTGCTACGAGCTATTGCTACTAATCAAGATCCTAGAAAAATAAAATTATTTAAGGGAAATGAAAATGTTATAGATCATTTTTATAATGTTCCATGTCCTTTTTTTTCTGAACAAATGAATTCATCAAAGTATAGTCGACAAAATGTAACAACTATACCTTGTCAACTTCGATTAGTTCCATTTAATACATTCAAACGACATTTACAACGTACGCACAACATTTCTAATTCATTGGCACAAAAATTACATGACGATTTCAAAAAAAATCGAGAAAAAAATTATATTGCTTCAACTTCACTAATTTCATCTACACATTCAAAATAACAGAAAATCTTAAAAGTTTTTTTTTTTTCATTCATATAAGTCTTGTTGTTTTTTCTTGTTAATAAAAATGAAGAATTCAATAAATTGAAACAGATGCTCAAAGTATTCTTTGTTCTTTGTGTTTGATGAAGTTTTTCAGGTTCAAGCTAATGGGTTGACGATAAGAAACTAACGACAAAACTTGTGGGTGTGGTGTGCAGACGTGATATTCACCAAGGTTGACTCTACGTATATATTTTCGGTCAAGAATAGAGAACGAATTGATACAAAAATGCTTCTCTGAGAAAAGTCTTTTTATAGTCTGAAGATTCTGCTAGTATCATGAACACTGTCTCATGTGACGTTACAAATGACTGCTTTGTTCGATTCTCTGCACCATTGGTCAAGAGACTTTAGTTCGTCAATTACTTCATAAATGACAGCTTCGATGAACCAGAGCTGGGTGTGGGTGTGGCTGAGAATACAGCAACGTCCACACCATTTTTGATTATGTTCAAGCCCTCTATTGATGATGCTCGATATTCTCACGAAATCTTTCTTAAGACATGCTATCTCGAATGCATATAAAATTTTATTGGATAATGTGAAAAGTAGGACAATAAGAGGAGTTATTTTATGAAGTTCTTTGCTGAATAGTGGGTGCCCATTTTCTCACTGCCCAATATGAACCGATAGCAAATGCAATAAGAATACCAAGCAATGCAAAACCTTTTACTAATGCAGCTATAAATGAACCTGTATGTTTTTCAATTATGACTGTACGTTGTTTGACAATTGTTTGTGTTATATTTGAGTTGAGCATTGCCGTATGATTTTCATGTGGTAACAAATAGAGAACTAATGTTCGAAGACTATTCGATCGAGCTTTCACTTCATAACCACCGGGTGTGGGTGTGGGATGTGGGTGTGAGTGTGGGCGGGTGTGGACTGGGTGTGGGTATTCTATTTTCTAACTGCACCCACGTCCAGCCCACACCCACACCCACTAATAGAAGAATTGTAAGGGTCACGACTTAACTCTTCAAAGTCGAGTATCTCTCTCGAGGGACATTACGATATTTGATACACAAAAAGTAACGAAAGCCCACATTCAAAAATGAATGGTTGTCCAGGTTAAGGTAGTATGATAGACTATAGACTGAACAACAAAACTCTTTTAACTGGCTTCTAGATGAGATAATTAATTAGTTAAAATCACAAGATTGTTGTAGATGTAAATTTTCGTTTGACGACTTCGTTTACTTATACACATACAGCGAACAGTTTGGATTTTGTGATTGATATTGATGAGTATCATATCTAGCTGTCTTATGAAAACGACTTTGAAATTTTGATGTGAGATTTTTGTCTATAAAAAGGTTTCGTGATCTTTAGAATGTCCTAAAATTTTTACCCAAAACAGATGTATACTTCTAGAGATATGCCACATTGATGAAAAGTTTATTTTGCGAAATATCATCGGTTTTTTTCTTATTCAGTATCTCGGAAAGAAAGTATCCGTTTTGACTGAAAATTTCAGAGCATTCTAAGAATCGCAAAGTTTACTTATGGGCAAGATTTCAGATCAGAATTATTTTCTTTTAATTCTTCTATAGAGTTGAATATCTTCAAGTAAACGGTAAAAATAGTTTTTTCTGTTTCTCTGTAGTAGAGATGTCTTATCCGATGAAATATATAATATTGTCAAAGAGATATAAGATGATATGTATATAAAATAGTTTCTTTTCTAACAACTAAAAAAAAATGTATAAGTGAACTCATCATTTGTTTTAATCACAGATAATGACCATGCCCAGGTCAAATAATCTGACAATAAGATCTTATACGATTCTTACAAGAGTATATACGATCTTAATGCAAGATCTTGTATGATTGTATAAGGTCGTATGAAAATCATACAAGATCTTGTACGATTCTATATGATAATCTTAAAGCCATCGTTTCTGATTAAATCATACTGTACGATTCTTATATGATCTTATTGTGTGATCTTGTAAGATCTTATATTATTCATGCAAGATTGTATACAGCTATCGTACGCATTGCATAACTGATTTTCTTGTAATATTCGTTGCTCTCTAATTTGGTTTTCCAACCAACTGATTCGCTTTCGTTGGTCTCTTGTTTTTAAGAAAAAAAAGCATTTGCAACTGACTTTTTATTGTCTTGCTTCCGTTTAAGACTAAATTTATTCTTAAAAAAAAACATACAGAACGATTTCATTATTATCACATCGAAAAACACAATTAGATGAATTAGTTTTATCAAAAACAAATTAGAGTTCGCTTTGCTGATAATTTCAATATTGTCTTCAGGCAATCGATCACAGTAATACAAAATAAAGTCAAATATTAAAATGAGCTTAAGTAAGTACATAACTATAACTTGAAAAATGGTTGAAATCATGTTATATTAGATAAAATTATTTTAAATTGATTGTAAATAAATAATGTGTCAAAATAATTTTATTTTTATTGGAATAGACAAATAAAGTAATTAAATAAAATTATTTTAGTGTAGTTTAAATGTATATAAATAACTCTAATACAATAATTTTATTTTAATCAAACAAAATGAATAATCACATTCAATTAATTTCTGTTAAATATAATATTAAAAATAGGTGCTAGGTTAAATTGATTTTGGAATAAAATTAAAAAAAACAATAAATCTACTAGATTAATTTCATTTTAATTTGAATAAAATATTCACATTGAATTGCTTTCATTCTAGTACAACATAAATTAAATAATACTATAAAATAAAATTAAGAATCTAGTGTGATTAAATTGATATCATTATATTTAAATTAGTAAATAGATAATAGTATTAGATTATTCTAATTTAACGGAAAATAAGCCAACTATTGATATTCAATGGAATTTATTTTGGTTCACATTGATTTAAAATAAATTAAAAAAAAATCAACATCATTTTTTCTAATTAAAATATATCATGAAGATATTAAAAAGTTAATCGATGAAATAAAAAAAACAGTAAAATAAAATCAGTAGAATTTTCAATGTATAAAACAAAACCGAAATAATTTTCAAAATTTATATCTGAATATAAAACAAATTAGTCGTATTTTGAAAAAAATACGATGTACAACCTTACCCAATACCAAACTAAAACGTATATAACATGATTGTAACGGTTTCCCTGTCTTTATATGATCGATTGTGGCCATTATCATGTTAGAAGTCCTCTATGTTGAAGATTTATAGTGGAATAATTTTGAACAATTTTATCAAAAAATAAAAAAAGGTAATACTTAATTGTATTGCTAAACAGAAATATGGAGAACGCCTTTTTTCTATGAGCGTAAATGACTAAATCAATTAGTGAGATATCTCCCAAAACCAACAATAAATTTGTTTAAATCAAATGAATACGATTAGTGATTTGATTTTCAGAGCGAAAAGCATCACTCAAAGATGTATTTTCAATTCGAAAAGATGTGGGTTTTAATTAGAACACATTCAATTCTTAAATAATTATTTAAACTCATAAACTGTATGGTTATAAAAAATATACTTGCACAAGAAAAATCTAAATTATGATCTTACAATATCATACAATATCTTATAAGATTCTGATGGTCAGATTTTGCAAGAATCTTATAGCAAGAATCATACAAGATTTATAATAGCATCTTACAGTAAGAAACATATCAAATCTTACAGTAAGGTATTTGTACGATTCTGTAAGATCATGCAGTATGAATCTTGCGACATCCGATTGTCGGTAAGATCTTGTAGGATCTTATACGATCTTGGTAAGGTTTTTCCACCTGGGTATTAGTAGAAATATTTTCATACAAATTATAAAGATTGAGAAAACATATGAATCTTTCATAGAAAAAACAAAATTATCACAGAATCGATGTCATAACAATTAACTAAGCGTAAAAAAAGGTGTGAAGTTTGAGTAAATTATGTTTAAGTAGAGTCATCAATAGTAGTAACTGATAGAGAATAACCGATGTCTATTATTGGTTGTTGTTTTTTCGACATTTTCACTCGAGTCATTGCATCCATTATCCATTTCATTGATTCGGCCATCTTACATTAAACAAGGGAGATAATTATTATTATTTTCATGTCTCATTTTTTGCTTACCTGTCCAATGGTTATGCGTAGATTTTCAACAGTAGCATTTCTCTAAACATATGAGGAAGAGATGTTATGAGAAAATTTTTAATTTGATTTAACCTGACTAAGTTGTATTTGAACATCAGTTAATGTCGATCGAACATTAGATAGTTCTTCTTTTAAATAATCAATTGTATTTTGTTTATCTACAGTCGATAATCTATTCTCATCGGTATTAGGTGATGGAAGACTAAAAATATTCTTTTTCATTTAAATGAAAAAGAAGAAATACTATTTTCAATTATACTCAAGGTTTGTTGATATTATTTTTTGTTCATCAAATGCTTCAATAAGATCTGTATTTCCACTAAACCCACTAAGTTGTTTCTCCTTTTCTAATATTGAACGTGCATAACTAAGTATTGCAGCATTTTCAAACAGATGCAGATATTCGTCTAATGATTGACTATCAACCGGAATTAGTTCTAAACAAAAAAAAAAGTATGAATTTTATTTTTGATGAATATAAATAATCTTATTAAATATGGATAATACATTTGTCACATCTTGTTGAATAGTTTTTTCGAGATTATTTACATCATTAATCTTATTTTTTCGAGTACATTTCTTATTAATTATTTTATAAATAACATGGATAAGCAGGTATAAATGTGGAATGGAATCATCCGTAAGGGACGTTTTCGACTAACCCCTCTTCCTGAATGTCTAGTGTGGGTGTGGGTGTGGGTGTTATTCTTCTCTTTAACGACGCCCACACCCACACCCACACCCTTACTGCTGGAGTACAGTTCGAGTACAAAGTATACGTAGCCATTAGACTTCAGCAGGACTCCACTGTACTCCAACTGTAATTTACCTTTGAAGTCTCGCTTTTTCTCCCTCGACATAACTTCGAATAGCTTTCATCTACCATCTCGGACTGGTTTTGTATAAGTGTTTCAGATGACTTACTATGCATTTTCGGTCGTTCCGTCTCTCTCTGTCTTGACATCACGTAAATCGCGGTCATATAGTGAGAAAGTCAAGCACTCTTTATGGGTTACACAAGATAAGGATTTTTCCAAGGAGCACTGTGGACAACTGCATTGGATACAGCCGATAGTACTGTAGGTGAACAATCGACTTGTAAGGAATGTCTCAAGTTTTTGCTTTATAAGTGACTAGTTCGTGATTTTTAGAAGGTATCAAAGCCGATTTGGATTTGGATTCAGTAATACAATCGGACATGGGAATGATGGTATCACAGAACGGTTAGTGATTTTCTACTCGCTTGTTTCGTATATGAACATATCTCTTTTTAGAAGATGGTTATGGACATGGTCGTGGTTACGTGGAGCTTTCATCAACTGTCGAGGTTGCGATACGATCAATTGGTAAGTTATTCCTCTATTCTCTTGATTGCTAAATGGACATGCCGCTATTTTTTAGATGATGACGTTTCTGATGATGTGTCAGTTAAATTCGGCGTACCACCAATGGGTAAGTAATTAGTCTGTTCCATGATATTACCACTTACTCTCGACTTATAGATGAGGATGATGATACTTGTTTGAATTTTGATGAGACTGGTAGCGATTTTGATTATGATAATGGTTGTCCAGAACTAGACAACTATCTTGCTGATCCGACGTACCATCCAGGATCGGATGAATATGATGATGACTCCCGAGAAGTTCATGATAATCAAGGTGGTTTTGGTTCGGCTGCTGCTGCTGATCTTGTATTGGAGCAGCCAGGGAGTAAGTATTTAAAATTTTTTTCGTTTAAAAGTAAACATTGAGACTGTGTTCAAGGAGTAATTCATCAACTTTGTCGTCTTCTTCACCGGTTCTTTTTATTCCGGGAGTTATCCGTAGGTGCCCAATGAATTTAAATGTTTAATCTGTGAAAAATCTCTTTTATCTAGGACATCATCGATCCCATTCTAGTCCAACACAGTGCCTCATCACAACCTTCTACTTTCAATTCAACTCTATCGTCAATTTCTGATGCATCCATTTTATCATCAGTAAGTGGTGACACTTGTTCCGAAAGCGAATCAAGCCCGGAAATCATTGAATAATTTTTTTGTTTGCCCTCGGCTATCAGATGCATATAACATGCTTATCCTTATTTGTTTTTTTTGTGTGCAATCCAATCGAAATTCATATGTTTTGACTCCCGATTTTATTTTTTGTCTCTACGTGCAAATACTATATGAAATTGTCTCTTATGTCTTAGCGTTCTGACGCTTTGTTTCTTTTTTTGTTATTGTGTGAAAGACGTATCTTTTGTTTGCATACATGATCTCTTAGTATTATTCCAGCTTCGCCTTTGCTCTTGTTTTGAATAGTATTGGTGGTCTGGGTGTGAGTAGGTGTGGGTGAGAATATTCTGTTCGTGCACACGCACACTCACACACTTTTATTTCTTACCTAGAATACATTTGTTTCAAATATTATTTTATGAATAATTAACAAATATATATTTGAAATATGTTTAATAAAATTGTTAAATTCTAAAAAAAAAAAAAATTTTCTATAAATAAATCGATTGATCATAGTGTTACGAAATCATTTATTTAAAAGTAAAAAGTGATATTCGTTTATCAATAATATTCATCAAAAACACTTTATGAAAAAATTTATTTCAAGAATAATCGGTAAGGCAAATGTTTTCATTTGTATTTAAGAAGACAACTCCTTTCTCGACCCGAAATTTTCTGTTTCTTGTTTTGTGTTCAGGATATAGATTCAAATATCTTTTGTCTAATGAGTATGTTTTCAATACTGAAAAAAAACTTTTTTTTTATTTATTAAAAAGCTCGGTTTTATGGTGAAAACGTAACTTTATTCGAGTTTTGCTCAAAGACAAAATTTAAAGAGAAAATTATACTCCTAAAAAATGTTCTGTAGATTTTTGTGAGTGAGTGAGATAACTTCATGTAATTTTTAGTCGTTGCACTTTGAGAGCTTTTAGTCTAATGATAACTTTCGATCTATTCTAGAAGTTTTACAAATTTGCTTTGAGCCTTTCTCGGCAAATCTAAATAAACGAGAAGAGTTATATTAAACTAATTGGAATTTTTATTCTGGATAATCAATAGAATTAACACAATAGACAAGAACTAAAACTTTAATTTAATGCAATTGAATTTCATTTAGAATATTAATAAGTTGAAGAAAAAAATCTAATTTTTAATAATTTCAAAGAGAAAATTCAAATTAATCTTATTAATTCAAAGGAAATATATATCTCATAAACAAAATGTTTCATATGAAAATGTTTTAGAGAAATATCAAATCTATTTTATATTGATCAGATTTTTTTTTCTTTCATAGATAAATGAAATAAAAAGAAAATGATGATTTTAATTAATTTAATTTGTAAGATAAATGTCAATTATTATTATGTCTTATTCAGTTTGTTATTCTATCGTTTCTCATGTCATATATTCAATGTATTAATTTAGATTGATATATAGCTACACATACAAAATTGTCATTGCATAATTCTTCGTAGAGAATAAATAAAGAGAGACTTATCGATCATACTCAATTATGGAAACTTGTGTATATTTCTCTTTCAATGATATTTACTTGTACTACTATATTTGTGTTAGAAGCAATATTTTGTTTGAAAAAGTATCTTAAACCTATTGATTTTACAAGTAAACAATACAAGAAATGTCAAACAGAAGTAATATGATAAACGAAGAGCAGAGAGTACATTAAATGCATTGGTTTTTTAAAACATGTCTTTATGGTAAATATTTGGTTTCTTTATCTGCTCCTGTTGAGTAGTATAAGTGTATTAACTAATGAAATGTCATGAACAAACAAAACATTTTGCATATATTTAAAAAAATTTTTGCATTTTCATTTCATTGTTGAATATTAATTAATATGCATATCTTCGTTTTACTTAGAACAAATTGAGATAGAGGAATATTGACGAAAGATGTATGCCTTTATTTTGGTCTTACAACAAAATTATTTCATCGGATTCATTTTTTCGAGTACTGAAAGAAGGAAAATTATCGGTCTTTGCCAAATTTCGAGAAATTTAGCAATCGAATTATAGTTTCTTCGTCTTTGTATCTCAGTAGTTGATTGAAAGACGAAAGAAGAATATTTTAAATATTCATTAGAATTAAAATTTTTCAACTTATACAAATTGTTGATTTGAACCATAATTCAAAAATTTCATCCTCAATTATTTTATAATGATGAAACAACGACTCCCACTATACGATCACTGCGTATGTTAACTTTGTAGAATTCAACTTTGAGATTGGACAGATGAGAGTAAATAGAAGATTTACAATTGCCTATTCACCTTCAACTCTTGCATAAATCGATCGATACTTATTGGCTCGTTTGAAAATAAACATTCGTTTTGATATATCAAGATAAACGATGGATTTTGAGAAGAATACTTGCATTGAAGATATGATAACTACATAGGAAAAGTATTCAGGAAGATTAATTTCCATTGTCATTTTTTTTTCAATTACTTGCCGATAAAAATATCTGATTGGAAAGAAAATCAATGATTCATTCGAATTAGTGATAGTTTCTCATATTTTTTTTATCAATCTACTTAATATCGATTATCACAAACTTTTACTTATTGGTAGGTTCAATGGATGCTTTCAAATGAGACCTTATTTTGAAACTATTTCTTCCATATATAGTCAACCAGTGGTTGTAGAGTAGAAGAAGAGAAGACCTACATCTACACTCAACTAATCAGCATAAAATTCTGCATCGAAAAATACATGAATTTTTAACATTTGAAGAATGACCAATTTTGTGATCTTATACGGTGTCATCCTTTAGTAATATGTTAGAAATCAAAAACTGAACTAAAATGTTTTCCACTTTTTTTTCTTATGATTAAACACGAATGAATGAATACAGCTGCAGAGAAAAAAATCATTTTAAAATGTTAAAGAAAACGAAATGTTTGAAGTTTTGTAAGATACAACGAGTTTGGAATAAGAAAAAAATCAACTACTCAAATTCAGCAGATCAGTTTTTAGATAAACGAAAACGATGGATCAATGCCATATAACAGACTTGTAAGAACGTTATTGGTTTCATTAATATCAATGGATTGCAACTTTGATTGGTAACATGTAAAAAGCCTGTAGACAATTGTCCTGATTTCGATGCACAGTGAAGAAACCAATAAGTATACCATTGAAAAAATTTAATTATCAAAGGTATTCGTAGTTTAGGACCGTTAGCTGTATTGAAATCATTGCCTTGTTGATAAGTTTGAATTTTACCATTTTTATCAGTTTTTATTAATTTTACTTAGGTTTGACCAAAAGTTCTAATTTTATTAAATAGTAATATTGAGATAATGAGATATTTTCAATTTTATTTTATCAAATGTTGAGGATAGTTGCCACGATTATTTATCATAAGGTCAATCCTTTCTAATAATTTATTAAAAGTTTTTTCTCCGTTTTTTTCTAAAAAAATTTTAGCTACCTTGGAAACCACATGAGCTAATTATATTTCATTTGTTTAAAAAATTTAATGGAATTTTGTTCGATCATGTCAATTGCATTCTAGCATTACTAGTGGTGTGATATCGATTTATTTTAGATAGGTTAGTCATAAGTCATCTAATGTTAACTGGCTTATTGAAGATGAATTGTCAAAGACTATTGTTCATGAAGACAGATTTTAACCAAAACTTTGTTTAGTATATCCTTTAAAGCAAATAATCCTGACTGTAGATAAAGGCAAGACTGTAGATCACAATTATTATATTGAAAATTGCCCGAAGCCTTTTGTTAATGAAATATGGAAACAAACATGGACATTAGATTCAAAATGTACAAAATTACTTGACGATCATCGTTGACTTCATACTCATCCAATGTTATTAATTCT